ACCATAGGATTTCAATGCTTTCGTTCATACTAACTTGCCGTATTAGTATGAACGAAAGCATTGAAATCCTATGGTTGAACTTTATCGGTACCGACATAAGTTAACGGTTACGGCCATTATAAATCAGGCTTAACTCAACTTTATCTTTAGCGGCAAGTGATCATGTAAGGTTAATCAAAATTTACAAGTCTGTACTTCTGTGACCACTGTGACCGATTCTATATCATTTCTGTACAGCTTTGATACAAGTTAAGATGGAAATAAACGAAACAGTTAATAGAGATATTAAATTAATAACCTTAGTGGAAAGATTTCCACATTTGTGCAATCATTATAAACAAATCATTATAAACCAGAACATCAAGATTTACGGCATAAGTTTATAGTTTTTAAGTTACCGGCGTACAGTTACGGCCAATATAAATTAGGCTTTACAGTCTCTACTGCTACTGTTCATTGACTACGTTTACACGGCCTGATTTACGCCGAAGTTATAACATCGATGTTATAGAACTAGCCAATCATAGCTATTCTTTTGAAGAATGGAATAACTGTGATTGGCCAATTTCGTAACATCGATGTTATAACTTCGGCGTAAATCGAACCGTGTAAACGTAGTCATTGTAAACCACGCATATGAATAGTCGGTTTCTAGGTCTACTCCTTAATCCACTACTGCTACTACCCATTGTAGACTACGCATAAAGTTTGTTTGCGTCACAAGCTCCAACATGTTCCAATGTGCTTCCACCATAGATCCTACTCACTCTATCAAACGCATAGGAGTGAGTAAGAGCTATGGTAAGAACATATTGAAATATGTTGGAGCATGCGACGCGAATGAATCTTACAAATGCTTCGAAGCATTTTTTTGATTGGTCAATTAGTAAAATTCTTTCTTTCGATTGATCAATCAAACGCATTGATACATTTGTAGCATCAAGTGGACTGCACCTTTAGTCGGCCGATTAGTTTAATCGGAGCTAATGAGATCGGGCTTTTATGTACGAGTATGTACTTTTTTGTCATATTTCAGGTTGTCACGAAGTAAATGCGATGCTAGGAAATTTGTTACTTAACAGTGGACTAATCTGGATACAGTGGAATAATCTGGAAATAAAAAGCAGTGTATTGCGATCAAATTTAATTAAATCTTTATTTAATTATCTTTTATAAACCATTAGTTGATAGATTATTGATGATTATTGATAGATATCTAATTGAAAATATGCTATTATATATATAATTGGAGGTATTAAATAAATTTATGGAGTATTTACGTAATAAATAATTATGAACTTAATAATGTATTAGCTAAATATTTATGTTAATAACAAATTTATATCAATTGTCGATAATGTCAGTATTCTTCAATTACCTCCGGGACCTTGGAGCCCTTTTTGTATCGCTGAAAATTTGCCTAGGGTCAACGGAATTTAATAGTATCTCATCGGTGATACTATGAAAGACCGTGTCCGATCCTGGACAAATTTTCGTGACAATCATTGGCTGCATTCAGCGGACTCAACAGTTGAGTGAGCGTTCGCTGCTATTGACGTATTCTTCTAGATCTAAAATTATGATTGGATGATCTAAAAGAATACACCAATAACTCTCACTCAACTGTTGAGTCCGCTGAATGCACCCAATAGGTGCATTTAGTACTACGACCGCTCACTGAGCGTTCAGTGAGCTCTTGAATCTGTTTAGTCTATATTTTCAGTTCTAACGAAATATGTCAATTAGATGCAAGAGCTCACTGAGCGCTCAGTGAACGATTGTAGTACTGAATGCACCCATTGTCTTAAGCTAGTGCATGAACCAATCAGAGAGCCGTATTAGCATCTTAAGACAATGGCTGCGTTCAGCAGAACGGTTGTTTTGCAACTGTTGGAAGTTTCCTTCGCGCTAATTGGATCATACTTTTAGATCTAGAAGAATGGTCCTATCTCAGCAGATAATCATAAAACGGTTGCAAAACTGTTGAGTCTGCTGAACGCAGCCATTGCTTGAGATTAAGAATGGAATATAGATTCCGGCCATTGACTAGAGGTTTGTTCACGTCGCAAGCTCCAACATGTTTCAACATGCTCATACCATAGCTACTACTCAATGGCTGCTTTCAGCAGAACGTTTGTTTTGCAACTGTTGGAAGTTTCCTTCGCGCTGATTGGATCATACTTTTAGATCTAGAA